CTACTTACTTGGATAAGGATTTTCAGTGAGGATTGGAAATTAGAGAGTTACACCCTCGTTTCTCCTGAAATTGATGTGAATTAGCTACCAACTTTCCTTGAGCCCTTCAAAATTCCCGTAGAGCAAACACTGCCTTCTCTACCGTACTTAGAAGCAATTAAAAGATCAACCAGCACTGACAAGCCAGTTAATGTGGTCTGCAAAGAAAATGCCTTTAAACTTGTCTGGGTCCCAGGAACTAACAGGGGAGGAAAATGGAAAGGACCCGAGTAAAGACCTTACTATCAGCTTGGGAGTCCTGGTAATCAGCTTTGGAGCTGATGCCAAGGAGCTGGATAAAGATGCAATTAAGGTTGCCACAAAGTTCTGGGATACATTGCAGTTCCCAGCTGTGATAACTGAAGAGTTGGCTGCAGTTCCAAAACACCAGCATGATAGTAAAGTAGGAATGAAAGGACAAATATCTTGGCCTTTTCATTTTCCAGACATTTCTGTTCACTATCTGCATGGAGCCTAAATTATCCTGGCTAAATTCCAAGCTGTAATCTCTTTTTTTTTTCCCCTTTTCCTTGAGTGGGTTAGTAAAGTACAATTAAGCTTCGATATTTTGCATTGCACAAGGGAAAACAGAATAAACATTTCCACTTATTTATGATCCATCTTAGCTCTTGGAGAGTTTGACAGTTTTACAAGTCTCTGACTGCTTATCTTGGTCAATGCAAACACCCTACTTTGAAAGCATCGTGTTTGAGTCTTCAGCATGAGCAGACATCATGTTCCAACTCTCTTTTTAAGTAAAAGGATATAAGGTAAATAAAAACAGTTATTAAAAATCCTGTCACAGGTAAAAAGCAGTTCTGAACACCAGAAATCGGAGTTGTAGCACAGCAAATGCATTTTTCACATGGTTTGTGTAAAATGAAATGCCTTATTAGCAGCTCTAAGTCACAGGGAAGTTACATCAATTCCTACAGCCCTAGGAAGTTGCACAAACCAGAAAGATGTGATGGGAAACTCTTCATTTGATGCTCAAATGGAACCTGAAAACCCCTTGTCGCTTCCAGCACTGGCAGCACAAGCAGGAGTGGCAGGATCTAAGTCAGTGTGTGAAGGAGCTGCCAGTTCCCAGCCCAGGGCTCCTGAGCTGTAGGAGGAATGTGTGGCAGAGTTCAGCAGGCACAGGACCTGATGGCTCCAGTTCTGGAGAGGCTGGGGCATGGCAGTGATGAGAGGAGGCAGCAGCATTCCCTGGGAGGCACAGCTGGCCCTGCTGTGGCACATCAGTCAGGTTGGGAGGTGGGCACCCTGGGCATCTGCTTCTGTGTGGCTGTTGAGGAGGATTACTGCCATTTAGAGAGAAAAAAAAAAGGTCTTCTGTATAATGGCAGAGGTTGGGAAAGGGCAAAATCCTTTGGAATTTTTTTTTCTGTTTCATTACAGAGTGGTGCAATATTCGGTCAAAGTGAGGAGTCAATCCTGCCCTCTGTTCTGTTCTCCTGTCTGCTGGGCATGTTGAGAAATCGTTTCTTTGCCACAAGCACCACACTTGCATTCTACAGAAAAGGGGACAAGGAGGGTCCTGCAGTAACTAATGCAGGAGTGCTGCAAACAGCAACAAAACCTGTCCTATTGTTCTTGTTCCTGCCCTGGTTTTGGAATCCCTTTAATTAATGAAGTCCTGATCACCATGTGATTCCTACCTGTTGAAACTGGAAAACTATTTTGAATGGAGGTGGAAGTAATGCATCTACCGTTGGTTTTTAAAATCTGTTTAAAAATTGCTTTGAAAAAAGACCTACAATACCTCTGTGCAAAGCAATACATTTAGGTAAAGGTTTCACAGTAGGCTGAGCTCCCTGGCCCGGGCAGGCAGCTGTGTGATCCCACAGCCCTCCCTGCATGGACCCACCACTGCCCCTGTCCTGCCACTGGAACCTATCAGAGCATGTGGTAGCCAATTCAGAAAGCTAAAACTTCTTCACTCTCATCCTGCCAAACAAAAGTGACTCATTTCCTGCCAGTTTGGCTGACAGGACCTGCTGGCATTGGCTCGGGGTGTCAGTGAGGAGCTGGAACTCACAGCTGGGGAATGGAAGAGGCCTCCTGCTTTGGCAGCAACAGAAAGTCACACTGCATCCTGGCAGCAAGGTGCACTGTGCTGGTGGTTTCAGAAAGAAACTGATATTTTCCCATTCTATTTACAGTATTTTAAAATTTGAAGTACAGTTTGACATTCTTCTTTAGCTGAAGTTTGCCCATCTCACAGTAAGGCTGACTGGCCTGTTTGATACACAGCTGTCACTAATTTTGGTTGCCGCCTCTGCCTTGTTAGGAAAGGGCTTTTTATCAGGAAAACATCTCCAAAACAATGCCCAAACCTCAGTACAGATGTCTTTTTGTTGCAAACATTCTGGTTAACAGTGCTGTTCATTCTGATCGGGGTTTAATTCACAGTGCAGCATCAGGTTTCCAAGTACCTGAGGACTGTGGACAGGACAGGGCTCAGATGGGGACACGCAGCTTCCCAGCCCAGCTGGCTGCAGGAGAGGTGTCACAGCCCAGCTGGGGCAGGGCCTGGGGCTCAGGGAGGAGGGAAAAGGCAGCAGCTGTGGAGGGGCTGGGCTGTGTGCTGGGCTGGGCACACTGAATGCTCTTTGCTGGGGACTGGGCTGAGTCCTCAGCACAGAACATACCTGTGGGACACAGAACAGCCAAAGGGTGGCACAGGCTGTGTACTCTGTGTTGTTTCTCATAAACATCTGGTAGTAACCTACCACCCGTAGCCCATGGGGAAATAGCTGGCTTGGCATGGAAGAGTTGCTGGCAGCCTCTGAACTAGGAATATTAAGTTTTGCAGGATTTTCTTCCCGACTGCTTAATTATGAAATCAGTTCAGGAGAAGGAGGTGACACATTTAGGTTGCTCTGCTATTTCAGTTGTGCAGATAGACCCAAAAGATATTAAAAAGTTGTAATCCTCTTGTCTAAGCCAGGTTACTCCAAGCCCTGTCCAGCCTGGCCTTGAACATTTCTGAGATGGGGCAGCCACAGCCTCTCTGGGCACCCTGTGCCAGAGCCTGCCCACCCTCACAGGGGAGAATTTCTTCCTAATATCTAATCCAAACATGCCCTGTGATTGTGCAAAAGTATGTTAAAAGGCCTGGAGAGCTACATCAGCAAAGAAAATCCCCCCAGCTCCTCTGTCCTTGATCTATGGAAGAGGCAACCTGTAAGTATATATTTTCAGTCATATTCATTGAAAATATCCTCACTAGGTGCAAAATATTTTTCTGCCTTATTTTTCTGTTTTGCATTACTTTTCATGGCTTGATTTGGTCTAAAAATGGAGTTGTGCTTTTAATGTGTTGGGAACTGGGGAAGCTTCAGCCCCTGCAGAGTCCCTGCCTGAGCTCAGGATTGCTGTGCACAGGCTCTGCCTGAGAAGGCTGAGGTCTGGAATGAGGACAGCTACACTTTCTCCACAGCTGAGCTGGCTGAGTGAGTCTACTGGGGTTTTCTAACTTTGTGAAAACTTCTAGTGTTAGGCTGGTCATCCTCCTGGCTCTTCTCTACAAATAGCTTTTATTTTCCTTTTTTTACTCTCTGAATACAATGCTTGTCTTTTATTGTCTCTTTATTGCTTTGTTGTGGTAAAGATTATGATACATTATAGCACTAAATATAGCAGTAAATATGGGCATAGTGTATATAGGCTGTTGTAGAAGAAATTAGTTTCTGCAGTATGAAAATAGAGTTTCATCCATCTGTTTTGTGTAGAAATATCCTGGTCTGCCTGTGGTATTACTTTATTCTCGGATGAAAAAGCCATACACTTTTGTGCAGAGAAGCCTCTGTTAGAATGGCATTGTCCAGTTTGATTAAGTGATAATGGAAACAATTTTAAGTTTTAAAGCAGGAAAATAAAATCATGGCTGTTGTGTGATATTTTTGGTTAGTGTCTGATTGTACTGATGACTTAGAGTTGAGAAGTCTGAGCAAGCAGTGAATTTGAACACGTATGTATGTGAAATGCCTTGGAATCCTAATTTGTGAGTGTAAAGAAAATGGTTTTAAAGAGCAGCTGCTTTCCTCTGTGCTATCATGCTACTCTTTAAGGTGCTTTAAAAAACATTTCTCTCTACTGAGCAGGCTGGATTTTAAGGTGGCTCAACAATGTTCCTTTTGAAGAAGTCTTTGCTCTCAGGTTGGTGTAACACACGCTGGGGTGCACCAGATCTACAGAAGGTGTATTTGGGAATCCTCTTCCACGGAGCCAGAGATGCTGGCAGAGGTCACAGCCTGGGGGCATGTCCCCATGCTGACCTGCCGTGATTCTGTGAGGTTGTGTTCTGCTCTGCCTCTGTGGGAATGTTACAGCAGTACTGGCCACAGGCCTTCACCGTTGTCACAGAGTGAGCAGCGAGTTCTTGACATCTGCTGTGCTGCACTGGCTGCCAAGTTGTGTAGGTAGTTGGCAAGGAAATAAATATTGATAGACCCTAGCAACAGGTACTCCTGAGAACTCTTGTTCTGGGAATGCTTAGGCCGTGTCCAGTGTTATTAAAGTTGGTGAGAGCATTTTAAGTTTATTTATAGGATTTGTTTTGTCTTACCACCATCTCTCAGTGCTGGAATGCCTGAGCAGGCTTTGCCGTGTGAGGGCACAGATGTGTGCCCCACACCCTGCTCTGGTCACTGATTTCTACTTGCAGCAGATGCTCACTGCCCCCAGCTCAGGGACAGCTGATTGACCCCGCTGTGTGACATCCCCAGTATGTGTTCAAATCCTCAGTCCTGTCTTTGCTTATCCCTCCTGTGGTGGAATGACTATTGCAGAGCTATGTGCATGTAAGTGCATTGGATACAAGGATTTATTCCTTTTTAGCAACATCCTAACAAAACATTAACATACAAGATTCTCAGAGAGTGTGCCAGGTGAAATTAGCTTGTCACTGACTCTGGTGAGCACTATCCATGAACAATTGTGTGTTCTCATTGCAGAAATTGAAGCCAGAGAAGCCTGCGACTGGCTGAGAGCTGCTGGATTTCCCCAGTATGCTCAGCTGTTTGAAGGTATGATCACAAAAACTTGCCAAGCAGCTGACACTGAATTTGAGTGGAATTGTTCACGTATAAATAATATATCTCAGAACCTGACACTTCTGATGGAAGCACTTCCAAATTCTGTTATATCTTCATGCAAACCTGTAGGAAAGTAGTGACCTGGTGTGTGTTCTTGCAGAAGGGACATCTCAGCAGGGACTCAGTACAATTCTTTAAAGAATTTTCTCTTCCTATTGTTAGACTGTAACTTAGTCAAATTTCTGCCTTTGTTATTTTTAGTTGCTTATAATTTTTTCAGGCTCTTTGTCTTGGAGTGTTGGAAGTGAAGTTTCCAACCACTGATTGGAACCAAAACTCCTCTGAGGATCTGCAGTCTGTGATCTGAGTGAGATTGCTTTATTGGTGTTTTGAAAAAGAATGTTGGAAAAAATCATCTTGCATTCATAAGAAATGTTCAAAAGAAATACTCAGCAGCAGCCAGCCAGTCAAAAAATGCAATTTCAGCATGTATTCATGTTGTTAAAACTACTAAGAGTGCTTATTTCTTGGGAGGAGATATGGATTTGTTGAGAACTTGTCTGATTTTTCAGGCCACATTTATGCATATACCTTAAAACTGTTCTTCTTTAAAATATGGTTTTTGTTACAAACATTGAAAGTAACAAAAGCTTTTTTTTTTTATTTTTAAGAAAGATTTTATCAAAGGACGACAGTTAAAAGAACATTCACTGCTCTCATTCCCACCTCCCCTGGTCACTGCAAAATTAAAAATTTGAAGTCAAGCCCCTAGAGCTGGGTTTGAAAGCTGTATTCCATGAAACCTGGAAATGCTTCCTGTCTGCCTACAGAATTCTATAGGCTGTTTGTTGGAAATGTGCATTGCCATGCTTCTGGAAGATGAATTCTCTGCATTACCTTGTTTTTATGCCATGTCCTGACCTGGCTAGGAAAATAAAGCTTATAAAACAAGCTAAGAAAATACATATGGACCTCAGTGGTTCCCTCATGTGCAAGGCTGAATCTCAGGAGCTGAAATGCTGAAGTGTTCAGCTTCCAGCCCAGCATGCTGTGTCAGGCTCCCTAGAGCTCAGAGAGTGCATCTCATGTGCTACATTGCAAAAGCTCACCTAAGATAATCCCAGCTTTATTCTGTAGAACCAAAGCAAATCTAAAGGTTATTTTGTGTTTCTTGTCTATGGCACTTGGTGACTGCAAGCTCCTGGAAATGCAGAAGGGCTTGTACACCTGTAAGAACAGCAGCAAGCAGATCCCTACATCTTTTCTCCCACTTGCCCTAAGGAACTGATCCTCACTTGCTGGAAGGATGTTTGCATGAATGTACAGCTATAGAAATAGAAGTAGTTTCATTTCACCTGTGATAAATAAGCTGCAAAATTGAAAGTCTTTGCAATTACAACTCAGATTTCAGATTCCACTTCTTTGTTCACAGATATGCAGTTTCCCATTGATGTAAAAACTGTGAGGGGAGATCATGAATTTTTAGATGGAGATGCAATTGAATCACTGTTCAGGTAAACATTAATCATGAACCATCTTTGATACCCCCAGCCCCCCAGTTACTTGTTACTCATCTTTTCATGCCTCTGCTTTTGTCAGAGACGAGCAAAGTCACTAAATCTGTGACTGAAAGAAATCACTTCAGCACATAGTTTAGTGCCACTATAGTTGGTTGCTTTAGGAATTAAAATGTAAAGTAACTGCATGTCTGCACTTCCTCTTCAGCCAGCCTCTCAGGGATGTTACACTGAGCATTAAGTATCTCTTTTGTGATGTGAAATGGCTGCAAGCTGATTAAAAATAGCCAGTTCCCTGCAAGCATGGCAGGCTGCTCTCTGGGATCATGTATAATGGAGTGCAGGAATTTCCTCCAACTTCTGTTCCGGCAGATAGACAGAAAAAATTTATCTGCATGAGATCTGTTCTGTTTTCCTGAATATTTTTTTGGGTGAGAAGCAAAGGTGCTGTTTTGGAGTTACTGCTTTGCCACAGCTGTTCAGAGCACACAAGTGAACCTGCATTGTCAGTGCCAAGTCAGACTCAGGGCCCTGTGGAGCTTCCCCATGGATCAGTGCCAGGATCCTGCTTCGATTTCTGCTGCAGTTACTGATGCCTACTCATGATGAGATTGTTTAGCAGAGTTTCTTCAGCAGAAATGATGATTTCTAACACTTAGGGCACTGGGAAGTTCCTCTCCTGGCGAGGTGTTCTGGTCCTTTTCTGTGCTGTCAGGGCACCTGAACTCCAGCTCTGCCTGTACCAGAGCACCAAGGTTGTTCACACACACGTCTCTAAAGCACAGCAGTTATTAGAGAACTTTGGGTATATTTTGTTTCTTGGTATCACCTCTGTCCTGAGTGCTCCTTGGGGACTCTCAGTGTGCCTCCTGTTGATGCCACCTATAATTTGACAACAACACAGAATTTTGTTTATTTTCAAAATTTTAAATCAATATGAAGTTTTCACAACCAGTAAAGCTAATAATATGCTTTTTTAAAATTAAATGATTGATTATAGTTGTCTTCTCTAGTTTTAAGATGGCAGAACTGGAAGTGTGAACATCATGGTGCTGTTATTGGTGCTGGTTTTGGGGGCCAGTGTGTGGGAGCCTTTAACAGAATGTCAGTCTTCAACAATAATGAAGACTCCATGGTAGATCACAACTAGTTTGGTGCATGTTTGTTTTCAAGCAATGAAATAGTTGAAATTTAAAACTCCTGTGTTTTTTCTCAAACCCTAGAAGGTTGAACACATTGAACAAGTATGCATCAATGAAAGTGGAAATAAGCCGTGATAGGAAACGGGTATGTCTGTAACATACAGTTCCTGTTCTGATTAAAGATGTGTTTAGCTATTGTATCAAACACCTGGGTTTAAAAGTGCATGAAGGACTAGCAATTTCTGAAGTTTCCTTTCTATTCCATCCCACAAAGCTCTGCTATTTCCATTTTACATTGAGAAAACATAGAGATGGAGATTGCGACTATGTAGTGTTTGAAACTTTGCAAGGTAGGTTAGGGGTAGCCTTTGAAACACTTTTAAAATTTGATTTGACACGTTACTGTCCAACGGTTGCCCCATAGCCCCATCTCAGCGTGGCTGTCATTGCTTTCCTAAGTAGTTTCCCACCTTATTTAAGTGCTGAAACTGAAATTTTACTCCTGTTGACTTAACAAAGAAATTAAAGGGGCAATGCAAATGTTCAGCCAATAGAAGGTGGGTAGGTTTTAGCTGTGCTGTCTCTGTGCTCTGCCACTGCAGCTCAGTCAGAGTGGTAGTCACAGCTTGGCTGGGCAGCACCAGCTCTGCAAAGCCTCTGAGCCACTGTGGATTGACTGCAGGACTAGCAAGAAAAGAATGCCATCTTCTGGAAAAATGTCTGGCTTTTGGAGAGTTCTGCTCTCTGCTGGGGCAGAATGGGGCAAGAGAGCCCAGAGAGAAGAGACAGGTGGCTCCCATCTCTCCAACCTTTCACTGTCCCAGCGTTCCCTCAGGGTGGGGACAATCCAGCAAAGGGGGCACCTGGTGCAGGTGCCAAGGGAGGCTGAGGGCTCCAAAAGGGTGCCACAGATACCAATTCTGCCACAGTCCCACAGCTAAACACTTCTTTACCTGAAAACGGGTGAGTTTTGGTCACAGAAGTGTGAGAGTGTTTGATTTGTTTGACTTTAGGAAGGGCAGTGTAAATCCAATACAATTATCTTTCAAAACCCTTGGATTTGCCACAAAACATGATTTTTCTCCCTTAGATCAAATCTGTCACTTTTTCCTGTGGTCAACTTCCCAGATTTATCAGCATACTTGGGCATCATTTGTCAGCATGTTTTTCAACTAACTTAGGGCAGATCTTCGGTGACTGAATGGTCACATTTCCTTATGTTGGTCATGGGGGTTTTGGAGGTTGGCAGAAAATCTAAATCTACTTTTTATGTTAAACTGGTTTTTGTAGTTTAAAATTTGCCAAACTTTGTCCTTAAACTGGGTTTCTTTTTTTTTTTCTTCTTCTAAGAGTGACGACTCTGAAGATGATGAACCTTGTGCAATAAGTGACAGATGGGCTTATGAGAGGTGCAGCCAGCGGTGGTCTCGCATTGAGAGCCTGCCAGGTTTCCCAGCAGAGGAAGGTGCTGCTGCTCCCACCCCAGGCAGTCCAGTACTGAAGATCATCCACAACGAGGACAGTGTCTTTTTGGATCATGGTGAGAAGCACGATGTGTCCTCAATTCACAGCACCAGCAGTGCTGACAGTGACATTGTTAACTCCCAAAAAGCTTTTGAAGATGTGGAAACCAGCACGAGCTCCTCAAGATGTTCCTCAGTTAAAGTGCCCTCACTGGACTCTGCTTTTAGTTGTTCTCCTCCCCCAAGTGAATTTTTAAATATCACCAGTGAGGAGAAGCTTTTGGATAAGTCACCATCTAAAAAGAGGAAGAGCCTTCTAAAGAAAATGGAGAAGCTGCACTTAAGGAGCTGCAATTTAAGGAGTGGTCAGTCAAAGGCCAAACCCATAATAAGTGAACCTGTTCTTCTGGAAGGACTTAATGAAGAAAAGATGAAGATGCTGAACTGTGTAAATATTTCTGACCTCTCTGGCATCCGAACAAAGAACCATTCTTCTTTTTCTCCCCAGAGCTGCAACAGCAGCAATCAGTCTGGAAATAGCAGCACAGGGAGCACCCCAAGCCCTGTTACAAAACCAGGCAGCCCCTGTGAAGGAAGGGGGACATATGCAGAGCACATGGACTCCAGCATGCTGTTACTGGGGAATGATCTATCCCAGCAAAACCTAAAAAATGACATGACGGTACCAAAGAACCAGATGTTTCAAATACCACAAGGCCATAAACCTGGCACTTTCCCCACAGTGCTTACAGATAGCTCCCTGTCTGCACCAGACAGCTCTTCTGTCAACTGGAGAACTGGGAGCTTCCACGGGTGCAGGAGGAGCCGGAGCAGAAGCAGTTCCAGGGATCCCCCAGGCCCCAGGAGTCCCCTGTCGGGCAGGGACAACAGGCTGAGTGTGTACGACAACATGCCCAGCACCCACCTGCAGGGCCTGGAGGCCGCACAAGTCGGTGATGACGACGTTTTCTCAGAGCTGAACAGCGTCATAGCAGATGTCAATGGCCTCAAAAAGTTGGTTGATGAGTGGACAGAGAAGTTCTCAGATGATGGGGATTCTGTCTTTGCCAGTGACTTGACCTCTTTGTGTCCAGCCTCCCCTAAAGAAAGCTCCCTCGAAACAGAGAACTCGGAAGATAAGACAGCAGGGGAGGCTGAGGGAGAGAGCAGCTGTGGCCTGGGCAAGGAGCTTGGTTCTGCAGACCTGACATACATCACAGACTCTAAAAAGACCAACAGGTCAGCCATCCTTGGGTTTGTCTTTGATTCTGTCCACTCGAAATATAATTGTTTTGCCAGAACAAAGTATTCTAAAGTCTGTCCTAGGTAGCAGAGTCTGCCCTGCTGGTGGCAGGTGGTGCTCCACAGGTACCGATATCTGACCTCTGCTGAAAGTAGGACACTCATAATCTGCATGAGCACTCAGTTTGTATTGCCAGAGGCCCTCCTGGATGGGAGGTACCTTGTTTAAGTGCAACTAACTGCAGGTCGTTTAGAGTCTTGGGTGCTTCACAGATGCAGGTAGAAAACAGGGATGGTGGAGATGGTTCTAAGGTTAAGCAATATTTGTCCCATAGGCACGGGAAGCAGCACTGGTGTGTGGAAGAGAGCGTGAGCCTGGAAAGCCTTTCCCTCCAGACTGATGGCCAGTCAGCTGCCCAGCTGGCCCGCACACAAAAGCTGGCACTGTTGAAACTCACAGCTTTAATGGACAGATATTCCCCTTCCAGTAAGCAAGGCTGGAACTGGTAAGTTGTCTGGCATTAAAACAATCTGAGCTGGAAAGTGAGGAATTGATGTAAGCAAGTGGATTTCCTTGCCTGCCTACATTGCACATGTTCAAGATGAAGCATTTCATCCTATTAAATTGCCAGCAGCTTTGTGGCTTCAGGATTTCCTCTGCTGTGGGCTGTGCTTTGGGCCCTCGCTGCTGGTCATGCTGTTACTGATTTTAAGGCACATCATAGTTTCTCTTTATATTTTCCCAATGGCAGGGCTTTTTCAGGGGACCATCCCAGGGACTGGAGGACCTGAGGTGAGAGGTGGCTGGACTGGGAATCCAGCCCTTCAGCACTGAGTGTCTGTTTGAACTAAACCAGCGACAAATTCAGACTAACATACATTTTGTGATAGGGAGCTGGTATACAGAATGAATGAAAAAGCTCTGCAGTGCCATAAAGGGATAGAATGTATTTCCCAGGAGGATGCTTTGTTAATTTCAGCAATGAAATGAGGAAGTCATCCCTGTAATTGCCTTTGCTATTTTCTCTCCCTCCTGTTGCTGTGTGTACAGGTATGTAGCAGAATTTGGGGTGGTGACAAGGTGCAGCTCAGCCCTTTCTGCTGAGTGTAAAGCAGCAGGTGCAATGTGCTGGACACCTAGTAAGCTGCATCTACTGGTTTTTGTTTCCAGGACCATACCAAAGTTCATTAAAAAACCAAAAGCCTCAGACTACAAGGACAAAAATGTGTTTGGTGTTCCTTTACTTCTGAATGTGCAGCGAACAAGCCACCCCCTGCCCAATGGCATCCTGCAAGCCCTGGAGTACCTGAGGAGCCACTTTCTTGACCAGGTATGAACTCGAGGCAGCCCAGTGGAGCTCTGGGCCATGAACAGATCTGCTGCAAGGAGGCAGGCTCTCTTTCATACTTTTGTGAAGGACTTTTTTTCCCCCTAAGGCTCTGAATAGGCAGAAAGGTGTAGATCTGAGCAGGTGGCCTGCGAGGAAATACCAGTGCTGATTCCCTCTGGGAATACCTTTAGCCCTGTGCTGTGTTTTTGTGCCTTCCCTCACTGAAACCCTCTGCAGTCATGTCTCTTGGTGCAGGCAGTCAGGCTGGCTTTGCCTGGGAAGGTGTCATGTCTCTGCTCCCCAAGGAGGCAAAGCTGCCAGACAATGTCATTGTTCCCTCTGTTCTGTGGCTGCTGCTAGTGCCAGAGCTAATGTGAAAATTAGTCTTGTTTCAGCTGAAATGCACCACTAAGCAGAGAGAAAACATTTCAGCAGTGCCTGTTACAACTTTTTCTGAAGCTCAGCTGTGTATTTATCCCCTGAGTGGAGATGGCAGAAGAAGTGTGTGCTGTATATGGTATTTCCATAGCATAACTGCAGAAATGAAGACATTGTGACATGAGACATACTAGTTAAAGAGAGGGCTTTTCTTCTGCTGCTTTGCCATTGTCTAGATGTGTTATATGATGCCAAAATGCAAAAGTGACACTTCTGTGAAATGACAATGCAAGTGTTTTTCATTCTGAGGCTATGCTATCCATTCAGTTCATATAAATAAACCAAAGAGTGTAAATAGTGTATCAGTGGCACAGAATAAAACTGTCACCAGAAGCTTTGGTGGGGTCAAGCTCATGGGAAACTCCTAAATCTCCCTCAGCTGACAATCATATTAAAAGGAAAATCAAAATTTCCCTCAAATGCCAGCCTGTGGAAAGATTAGATGTTTCAGATGTATCAGGTGTTACAGGGAGCCTTGTGGATCTCACAGGCAGTTTGTGTAAGCCAGCACTCGATGTATGTTTGTGTTTGGTGGACACACATTGAAGCTTAAGAGTTGCCATGTGTAAACACAGCCTGCCCAAGAAAATGGACATATGTCAATGGCAGTGATTTTAAAAGGCAAAATTAGTACTTTTGTATTAAATAAAAGCCAAACAAACATGAAAATTGGTATGTCACGGCTGATTCTGTGGTCATCAGGCATGGTTTGCCTCAGAGAAATGCCCATGCAGCTTCTAATGATACAAAAGTATTTTGGTGAGCAATCTCACTGCCATAGGGTATTTGCTATTGCAAGGAAGGTGGAGGATCACTTATTTGTAAAAAATTTGATTCCCAATGACTCCTCTCTTTGTCTCTAATAATTTCTTTTACCCACAGGTTGGCCTGTTCCGAAAATCCGGTGTTAAATCCAGGATTCTGTCTTTAAGAGAAATGAATGAAACCAGCCCAAACAACGTCTGTTATGAAGGGCAGTCAGCATTTGATGTGGCAGATATGGTCAAGCAATATTTCCGAGACCTTCCTGAGCCTATATTTACCAGCAGGCTCTGTGAATCCTTCCTCCACATCTACCAATGTAGGTACCAAAAGCTGTCATTTTCCAGTGCCTTGGATATCTTAATATTCAGCTGTACAAGCAAGTGGCCAGACCAGGAGTAGTGCCAAGTCCCCCTGTAGTCAGAGGGGACAAGTCAGGCAGGACATTTCTGAAATGATGAGTTCATTGTGGCTCTGGCCTTGGGAGCTTCCTGTCTGCATCCTAGGAAGCAGCTAGTTCTCTTCCCTGAGGGATGAAAGTAATGAAATGCTGCAGCAGCCCCCTTAAACTGTGCTTTTAAACAGTCATTTCCTTATGCAAAATTAAGAAATAACCTGGTCCCCTTGTTCATGGCATGGCACAGCTCCTTGAATGAGAAGACCTGACATATTGATATATTTCTTTATTGAAGTGCCTAAGAACAGCTGCTGTGAAACAGCTGGGAAATGCCAGCAGTTTTCTGCCTGTGCTCACACTGCTACTGAGTCCTTGAGACTCAACCCAAAAAGCAAGGAAACACAAAGCTGAAATACTGCATTTAATACAGTTTAAACAGGTTCTATTCCCAGTACTTTGCCCTCAAGGAATTCACTTTCAAAAAGCAGATGGACTGGGGAAGGAGCTTGAAGTAGGGCTGATAATATTGTTGGGACAGACAAGTTTCTTCTGCTTTTGAGAAAAGGTTTTGAAAGACAAATTGTAAGGTTTCTGAGAGGACTTGTAAAAACTTACTAGGTTTTGCAGCCTAACCCATGTGGCTTTTATTGACCTAAGTCAATGAGCAGCTGCTCCTCTGTGTACAGTGTAGGTTCATGAAAGTTCTGTTGAGTTTTATTTCATCACCTGCCAGGGTTTTAAAATTTTGTCTGAAAACAATTTATTTGTTTGAAGTGAGTTTTCTTCTTGCATTCAGAAATCCTCCTTTGTAAGGAGGTCAACAATTCCCATGTCCAAAGGATGTATAACTGTTTTCCTCCAGTTGTTGTAATCTGGCCACTGTCTACCTCCTGTCTCTTGTTTTGGGAGAGAAACAGCAAATGCCCAAATTCTATTCACCCCACTCACCCATCTTCTGGAGCAAGTGCAGGGATTCAATTACTCTTTTGGAGATAAGAATTGTGCTTCTTTCACCAAGAAGTGTGTTTTGTGTGTTCTGTGTATGTGCTTCTACCTGAAGGGAAGGAGGAGTGATCTTCTGCCCTTTGCAGTGGTGTTAATCGGAGAAATCCTTGTGCTGGGGATGTGTGGCAGGATGAACCAGACCCACACTCCTGCCAGAGCTGTTTGGCCAGACAGTCTCAGTGGGGGTTAGTGTGAATTAAAATCTGTTGGCAAAACACTGGTCTCTGAATTGAGTTATCTGAGAGCATCTGTTCTCTTCACACTTAAAGCTGAAAGGAAAAGGCAGTAGAGCAGCTCAAAAGTATCACTGCAGAGTAATGTTTTATGGGGAAACAGGTCCTTCTTTGGATTGTAGCTCAGTTCAGGGTATGTTCATTAGCATGGTGCTCAAGATAAATTGCAAGTCAGGCAGCAGCATCCCTGGGTGTGAACGTGCAGTAAGAGAAATGGTTCATGTTTGATGGGATAATGGCCTTTCCTTGTCTGCTGTGAGCTTGGGACAAGGAAATGGATGAACCTACAAGCTCAGAGCCCTGCTTGGGGCCCTGCTATCGGATGCTCCTTCTGCAAGTCGTGTGGTTTTTGTCGTGGTTTATGTTTTCAGACGTGCCGAAGGATGAGCAGTTTCAGGCTGTCCAGGCTGCTATTCTCCTCCTCCCAAAGGAAAACCGAGAAGCTTTGAAAATCCTCCTGTTCTTCCTGCGAGATGTGGTGGCTTTTGTTGAGGAAAACCAGATGACCCCAACCAACATCGCTGTCTGTCTGGCACCTTCTTTGTTTCACCTCAACACCCTGAGGCGGGACAGTTCCTCCTCCTCATCCAGGTATTGGCACCTTGATGCTGGCACTGCTGCTGTCCACAGCGCTCTTGCTGGAGCAATGCTTTCTGTAGCTGGCCTAGGCTCAGAGTGTGATTTTGGGGGGGAAATAGACTCTCTATGCCTTGGAGTTTACCTTAAATCTGGTAGCTCAGGTGCAGCAGGAGCTGCCTGCAGTGCATGGAGCGATGTGGCTGCTCACTGCCCAGTGCAGAGCCATGGTAAGGCCCCATTGCCATGCTCCTGACCAGTCTGTGTGTGTCCCTCACCACACTGCACTCCCCTGCTTGCCCAGGAGCCCAGCATGTGGCCACTGCTGGCATTAAAGGGGCACTGGTCACCTGAGCCCAGGTGTGGCCTTAACGCCCTGCAGATACCTGGCAGATTGAGGCAGCTACTGGCACTGGTTCTGCTGGGTGATGAGGGGATCATTCCTGACAAATCGAGCCATGGGGATTCTGTAAATTTATCTTAATAAGTAAAAGTATCTGGGTTGCATAACATCCCCTGTTTGTACGTGCAGTGAGGAAGGTGCCCTTGGGCCAAAGTAGACAAATAATCTCTGAGAGCACTCATGCCTTATCTGGCCTCCTGAGGCAGGGCTGTTTGCTCTGCTCGTGCTCCGGGGCTGTGGACAGACAGATCAGGGCAGGAGAGCACAGCTGGCTGTGCAGCAAGCATGGTGCTCCTGAGGCGTAGCGAGCTGAGCACCTCGCTTGGGGATCTACAGGGGAGGACTAGTCCCAAAGCAGAGGCTGTCAGATGTGCTGTTGGCATCTTTCAGGCTCTGGGTAGCACAGGGGAAGGGAAGGAAAACACTGAGGATTTTCTTTTGAATGTCACAAAACATCAGAAAATGCCTCAGGCATGCCTGTGTTGAGCTGGCACACGGCAAGGGAGCCACGGGGCCACTGTGGGGCACCAGGGGATGCGATGGATGGCGGCAGCAGGTCCTGCTGGATTGCTCTGCTGTTTGAGCTCCTAGGAGCTACACTCTGGGACTTGTTCCTCTTTGCTTTACATCAGTGCTGCTCTGAAATGCTAGGACCAAAGATAGCAATGGAGTTTTCTCTTTGTTGTCAGTGTGTAGAAGCCAGGATGCTTTGAAGCTTTAGTTCTGCTGTAAGTGTGCATTAATGCCTTGGTGCAGGGTTCCCACTTCAAAGGGTTCAAGCTGACAGGTCTGACTCTGAGGAGCAGCACTGAGGACTGTTATCTTCCACCCAATTTTCAAGCCATTTGGCAGGAATGCACATAGATAAAAGTTTCAGAAGCCAAGACTAATGATGTAATACCACTAGCATGAATTAAAAGAGGGGACTGTTTTTGAAATGTGTTGGGTGTGGTTTGGACCAAAGGATTTAAAAAGTTCTACATGGGCTTTGCAGGTATCAAAGAAGCTTGATATTGAAGATTATACACAAATAAGCTTGGGGTCATTGTTCTTCTTGGCCAAGTGTGTGATGATGTGTTTGGGGAATAAATTCCTTGACTTGCCTTTCTTGGGTGTCCATTACTACTGGTCAGTAGTGCCCTGGACACCTTTGCTGGGAGGGAATTGACCTTCAGTAGTCACATTGCATGAGCCCTACTCGGCATGTGCAGGTCCTTCAGTGCAGTGTTTTGTGTGGTTCCCAGCACTTTGTTCGCTCAGCCTTCCTCTCACCTTCCCCTCTCCTAGATCCAGTCAGAGGAAGTGCAGCTTGGGGAAGCCAGACCAGAGGGAGCTGAACGAGAACCTGGCAGCAACGCAGGGCTTGGCCCACATGATAATGGAGTGCAACAGGCTCTTCCAGGTACACCACTCACTGTCACCAAGCAAAAGCTCTGGGCATCCTGGGAGGGTGGCTGGCTTGGAGCAGCAGCTGGGCAATGTCCCTGCCAGCCCAGCTGCTGCTCAGAGCCTGTGACAGATGGGAATCCTGCAGCTGCAGGAGCAAACGAGCATTGTGACCACTCCTCCATTCCCCCCTTCGGGCTTCACTCCGTGGGCTTGGGGACAGCTTAGAGAGCACCTGTGGGCAGTGGCTGCCATGTGCCCTGGCAGGGAGGCCCTGGCCATCCCTGCTGGAGAGTGGGTTGAAGTTTTGTTGCTGGGGCCTGGCCAGAGCAACAGCCATGCCTGTGCCTGGCCATTGACCCCAGTAATCTGAACCTGGACCTTGGCCCACAGACTGACTTCCCAGCTTGACCGCGGCCTTTGCCCGTCATTATGGACTTGCCTAATGCTCCTTAGACTGTGGCTGTCCCTGGTTGCTGTCCCTGGACCTGATCCTGACCTCCCTTGCTGACTCACCTTCCTGGCTGCACCTGGGACCTCATCGCCGTGGATGTGTCTGATGATCCTGACTCTTGGCTGCCCCTCTGGCTCAGCTCCAGCAGTGTGGGACAGGGCAGCTGCCCTGCCAGCCCTGCTGTCCCACTTGACCCCTGGCCCCTTTCCCTCAGGGGTGCTGACCACACTCAGCTCAGACCTTCTAATGCTCTGCTCCAGCTGCTCATCTGGGCAGGGGTGCTGCCCCATGGCTCCTCTGCACTGATTCCTTAACCAGTGCTGCCTGGCTTCTGATTGACACCCCACCCCAGGACAGCTGAGCTCCCCAGGGGTCTGATACCTGCATGGCATCAGTCTCCAGCCCAGACAGGGCTCCTAAGTGCCCCTCTCACCCCCAGCCCAACCACGGCCACTGTTTCCCCAGCAGTGGCCTGAACCCCTCTGCCCAGCTCTGAGGTCCCTTGGGGTGCCCTGACACCACTCCTGCCCTGTACCCTTTGGTCTGCCCTGGCAGCACGGAGCTGGCCCTGTTCTGGCTGCATGGCCCATGGAATAGCCCCATGGAACTCTGAGCTACCCATGGACACTCCATACCCCCCTGCTATGACCATTGCTGACTGCAGCCCTGAGCTGTGGGGCTGCCCCTCACTCCGGGGTGCTGGGTCCTGCTGGTGTGACCCCCTCCCTGCTGGGGTAGGCACTGGGTGCTGCGACTCAGGGACTGCCTGGAGAGGGCTGTCCCCCTTCTGCTGGAGGCCACAGCTCAGTGTGGCAGCCCTGCCATGCCCGTGCCCAGAGGAACACCCGGGTCTGCTGCTCTGGACCTGGACTGGTCACTGTGGCCACCACTGGACTGCGGCCGACGCTGCTGCTGCCCCTGAAGCTGAGCAGGACTCGGCCTGTCAGCACTGCCAGCCCAGGTAGGGCAGGAGGGGCCTGGCCAGGCTCTGCCCCGGCCCCAGGGGCAGGGAGAGCTCCAGGGCACGGGTGTGGGTGCAGTGGGGACAGGGAGCACAGCACAGGCTGTCTGTGACATGGCTGTCACCCTGCTGTCAGTGTGGCACCAGCGCCAGGCCTGCTGGGTTTGTGGGCAGTGCTCAGCCACCAGGAGAGTGCATTTGCACAGGTCTGCACTTGCTGAGGTGCCAGCTGCTGCCCACAACATGAGGTGCTGGACACTGACCAGCTGTGAGAGCCGAGCCCTCCCCAGCGCTCTGGACATGGAAGAATCTGATACAGATCTCTGTATAACAGATTTATATATACACACACACATATATATACACATACATGTACACACATGCATATGTCAGTGAGCACCTGTATCAATGCAATACCTTCTCTCCAGTGGTACCAGAGCTGCATTTTTGTGCTGCTTTAGGACTCTGGAAGTTTTTTTAGGAGGCTCACAGCACAGCCCCCAGCAAACCCAAAGACAAAGGCATGAGCCTACAAGGAGCTGTGGCTCCTTGTAGTTGCCCATGACTGATAAGCACTGCACAAAGAGGTTTGCAACTCTGTAGGGATTCAAAACATTGCTGCTGAGGGGAAAGGCATTTCCCTTGTGTTTTCTTCAGAGGGAATGTAGTTTAACTGATCTGCTCCTCCCCTGGGCTTCCTGCTCCTCCAGGTAAAACTGCTGCCTGCCTCCCCGCACCATCACAGATGACATCAAAGGCTGGGGGACCTGCTCGTACCTGGCACCTAAGGTAAAGTAGATGGAGGGAGCATGGATCACAGTATTGTTGGTTCTGGAAGTGTGGGTGGGTGGAGGGTTTCCTGGAGGTACCTTTGGGTGTTCTGAGTTCATGGCTTTGGCTCCTGCACTGAGAATTGCTCTGAGCTGTGCTCACAGCCACTGTCTGCCTCTGTATCTGCAGCTGCTGAAGCCACACTCCTTTTCTCTCCTTTTCCCTCCCCACTTTGCTTTTTTTTCCCTTACCACAACCCCACTCCAAGAGACAAGAGACAACTCCAATTGTTTAGTCCCTTTATTGTCATTCCACAGGGAACTGCTACATCCTCTGCACAGGCTTAATCCCCAGGATGTCGAATCCTTTGGCCATGACGGTGGCAGTGGCTTCGCACAGCAGCAGCCTCCACATGTTCACTTTCACAATCTGGCCTGGAAAACACAGACAGAGGAGCTGGAGTAGCTGCTCAGAACAGTACCTTCCCCAGGGGAAGCCCCTCCAGCCAAAACCAAGCTCTGGACTGCCACATGGAATCTTTCCTGCTCTCCCCAAGCCAGGCAGAGTGACCACCTCTCCTGTTTCCAGGTGCCTGGCTGCTCCCAACCCTACTCAACCTTCCTGCTCAGTCCTAACACAGGCTCTGCCAGTCTCTGTCAATCCTCCCACACGGACACAGTAGTGTGACAACAGCCTTTCCAAGACAGGGAAATGGAGATGGATGTAACCACAGGATGTGACACAGGCACACACAGCACCCCATGGCCAACACTCACCAGTCTGCCTGTCCTTCTCAACGCAGTAGCAGCTGTCGTAGAACTCGGTGAAGGTGGTGGCCAGCTCATACAGGTAGTCACAGAGTGTGTGCAATAACAAGTCCTCCAGGATCTTCTGTAGGATCTCAGGAAACCTCAGGATGCACTTGCCCAATTTCCACTCCTTCTCATGGTCAAGGACAAGCACCTCCTCCCTGGCTGCCTTCTGCAGCATCTGCTCATCGATGTTGGCCAGGCGAGCAATTGCCCTGGAACGGTCCAAACCAGTCTGCTTGTGAGGGTCCCACGGCCCAGCCTGCCCAGGGCCAGCCTGGTCACCTGTCTGGCCTGGCCAGGGCTGGTGGCCTCCCTTGCCCAGTCCTGGGTGACCAGGCCAAAGAGGACAGTCAGCCCTCGATCCAGGAGGGCACTGCAGAGGAACAGGGAGGGATGGACTCTGGGCACCTGCATCAGCAATGACAGCTGATACTTCCAAGCAAACCAAGGCTCAGGGTGCCAGAAAAACTGAGGTGTGGCAATATGTGAGCTGAGCAGCTGCTGGAACACAGATGCATCCTTTTCCAACCACCTAAATCCTCTGCTTACCAGGAGCTGCCACAGTTCCCTCCCTGGGCTGTATGTCACACAGACGAGCTGTTTTAGGTGGCACTGGACACACAGTGTGCAGTGACAAATAAAATCCTGTCTGTGATGCATACCAGTGTAGCTGGCTTCTCTTACCAAACACCCCCAACAGCACTGCTGTGACTGTCACCCCTCTGCCCACAAGTCCCTTTGTGACCCAGATGCAGAGAACACCAGCACCCCACGCACCTGATCCGTGTGAAGGCATAGAGCAGATAGGCAGCTGTGTTCCCTCGGTCATCCAGCATCTTGTCAAAGGAGAACACGTAATCATTGAGTCTGTTGTGGGACAGATCTGCATATTTAATGCATCCAAAAGCCACCGATGTCTGGGCAGCTTTCAACTCTTCTGGTGTCAGGACCTGGTGCAATTTCCAAACAGGCAACAGTCAACAGGAAGAATGAAGCACAGTGACAGCCCTGGCCTCAGCAGGGCTCAGGAGGAGAGCCCAGGCTGCTGAGAGGATTTACCCACCTGGTGCTCAGTTCACACACACCTCTCTGCTTCAGGGCACCAGACAACCCCACACCGACCCCTCACTTCTCCTGCAATCCACTGGCACCACAGCCCTGCCCAGGTTAGGGCTGACCCCCTCTTCTGACACCCCACAGGACCTCTGTGCCCCACAACCTGCCAGGTGTGACATGCTCTGCTCCTGCTTCTTCATGTACACAGAACAAATGTTGGTCCTCCTACCCTTATGGAGCATTTTGGTTAATCCAAACACTTAGAAACCCCTCTCTGCTGGAACAGTGGCAGCAGGACAAAGCACTTTGTGCCTCATTCCTATGAACCCTTTAGAGATTTTCCAGATGTTTTTTTTCCCCTTGCTTCCTCGTGTTCCTGTTTAAAAATGGACTTTTCACTTTCACCCTATACTGCCCTTCCCAATTCCACTGCCTCACACTGTGCTTGGACAGAGTTTGGTCCATTCCATGTCCCACACTATCCAGTTCAGAAATCTCATTAAGCAATGCAGAGACCCGAAGTCTGTGAACATCTGGGAATCTCTCAGAAAAGACAAGCAATCTGTCACAACTACCTTGTCCCGTTCCTTGTCTTTCAGCTTGTCCATGGCTCGTTTCAGTCCTTCCTCCAGCAGGTCTATGAGACGCACCGTGTCCCCTGAACGAGTTTTGAACTTCTTCCTGAAAACACACAGCCAAAATGACCACCTGCATAAGAGGCAAAACACTTCCACCCTCTGCCTAGTGCCCAGCAAGCTTAGGAAAGAAAGCACATGGCAAATCCTTTTGTATGGAAGGAATTGCCATAAAATGGACAGCTCCAAAACTAAGAGAGCACCCGCAGTGTGGTCAGCAGGAATGGCCAGGAAGGATTCAACAGTCAGAACTGTCCAGTTCCAGACATCAAGCTGCACACAATACCAGTACCAGACTTTTCCCAACTTTTGTTTCATCTACCATGAAGGAGGTAGAAAGTGATGAAAGTCATGGCCTTTACCACTGCTATCTCCCAGTACCACAGGAACTTCCACCAGCCAATCCAAGTACCCCTTGCCAAATACCAGGCAGCAGGAGCCAAGCTTGAGAGGGAACGTGACCACAGCAGCAGTGACTGTGTGGATCAATGACAATGACACAGTTACAGGTAACAGCACAGGAACCAGTGCTTTCTTTTGGGGTTTTCTTGGTGTGCCACATAAACACTTGTCAACGAATGAGAGCAAGTCTCCTGCATTCACCCGAATGTTCTCTCCAAGGTACAGGTAAGAGGAAAAAGTACACCCAGACACCTACTTGTCTTCTCTCAGACACTTACTTGTCTTCTCCCAGCACCACTCCAAAGGCAGCATGGGCCACTCTGGTGACTTTGGGATCATACCAGCCAATCATCTGTCCAGCTGCAAACACCGTTTGGAGATGCACAGACTGCAAGGAAATAAAACACCAACAACTGGTTTTCAATCCACTCCTCCAGGTGCAGTTTCTTCATAGCTTTATCCTAGTCACAACGATGCTCTCACAGTAAGACCTAAAGTATTTCCAGTTCCACAGACAAATTCTGCTTTGAGAAATTCAACCTTTCCAAGAGTTTTTCAGCTCTACATAAGCAGCAACTGGCAAAATTCCCATCACTGCTCAGATAAGGAGTAAATATACCAATCACACTGAAGACCCTGTGGTGTTCTACCTGCGTTACTGTTGCATCCATCACTTCACACACTTTGTGCTGACCAGCACCAACAGTTACAGCAGAGGGTGCTGAACTCACCTGGCCACTGTCAACAACGTAGATGAGGATGTCACCCTTCTCTTCACACAGCCTGTGCTTCAGAGCAGCCAGGTCTGACGTGTCATACGTGAAACCTCCGTCCGATTTCATGATGGTCAGCGGGACAGGGAAACCCGGGACGAACACGACCTTCCGGCCATCATCAACCTGCACAAATCCTGACAAAGCAATGAAAAACTTCTGTGTTGAATAGCACCAGGGAGGTTCTGGGCCAGCAACAACACCTCCCCTCCCTGCTGCTACCAGGAGGAAAAGGCCACACACTCACATAATCAAAAATATGGAAAGGCCTACATGATTCTCTACAGCACTTCCAGAACTAAACAGATCTGCACAAACGTGGCCTTATCAGGAAAGACCCAACTTAAAAACTCCCATCACTTGCATACAGATCTGCCTGTACAGCCACAACCCCATCACAAAATACAGCACTGAAGACAAAACAAACTCTACAGAGGACTCTGCACAGAGTCTTTCTGAGGTAAGACCGTCAGAATACTTCAGATGGCGAGACTCAGGAACTGCAAAATCCAGACAGGAACAAATAAAACCCAAGACTTCTTATGCTGCATTTGGCTTCTTGCCAGTTTCAAAGTCAACATGATCCAAAAATCCCACTGTCTTCACAGAGATTTCTCAAAGTTCCCATACAGTCACAACACTAAGACTGGGAAGTCTGTCATATATTACTCCTTGACTGTTTACTCAGAATACAATAAATTCCAGCAGTACGCTGTGCTACTGCCTACAAATGTCACAGACAAACTGCTTTTGATGTCAGCAAGAAAGACTCAGGCTTTCTGGAATGAGGAAAAGCCACAAAACACCCCCTTAGGAAATGTGGCTGAGAAAAAAAGCAAATGTGGGGAAGATGCAACTTGAAAAGCATCAGCTCTAAGCCCTGCTGAGTAGGATTGAGGCTATCACGCTCATCCTCACAGCTGCAGAACTTCTGACCCGAGACCAAAAGCCTCACCTTTATCTTCAAATTCTTTCACAATGTCTTTCATCATCTCATGGTAGAAGGACTCCCCTCTCTCTATGAGTGTGATGTCCAAACAGTTGTAGATTTTCTGGAATTCTTGAGAGAAACAGAACATAGTACTTACATTAAAGGCACACAGTGGGAACCAGTGGCATGCTTAGCAGTGGGTACAAGCAGGGCTGAAAAAGCATTATCCATTTCTTGGTCAAGGCATCAGACTAGGACTCAGGAGACAAAAGATTGAGCTGAAAGTCTCCACTTAAGATAGCCCAGTACTTTGGTTGTACTGCCTTTTTGCTTTCAGCTTCTCGTAGCAGTGTGGCAGTGATTTTCAAGGGAAAACAGAGGGTGTGCTCAGACATAAAGTGAGGAAAGCC